CCAGCCGTGAAAGCCTTCGACAATACAAAAAGAAGGGGGTTCTGCAGATTTGAGGCGGGAAGACATTGGGGGCTTGGGGGGAGTTGCCGGCAATCTCGGATGTGAGGATTACCTCAGGGAAGGCTGGAAACTGAGGAGTTTTGCTTAGGCTAGAATTGCATTAGAGTTTTTTATATTTCATTTTCTCTCTTTTTTTACCCCGTGTTTTGTGTGTGTGGAGCTTTATCTTTGTCAACTTTAATAAAGTTGATTTTTGTTTGTTTCGAGGGAATCCTGGAGTTGACCAGTTGCCTTCTAGCACCCACCTCAGCTTGGTTGAGCTACAGACTCCCAAAGTTTTGTTTTATTTTATTTTATTTATTTACAAATTTATATATCCCGCCCATCTCACCGTGCAAGCAACTCTTGTTCGGTTTCCGTTCCTGTAGTTTAGCCTTTCCCCCTTCAATTCTCTCTCAGTTCCCCCCAAAGGTCTGGTGGAAAAATGAGAAACTGGTTGTAAAGAAGGGGTAGAGGCAGCAAAGAGACCTAAATTTCCTAATTTTTCATGCCCTGGTGCAAGATACCTCAGAACTGAAGCGCCCAAAGGGAGGGGCTGGTTTCACCCCAAGAGCGCCTTCATTATTCTGCAAAGCTACGCATGCCGCTTGCTCTCTGTCTTTTTTCTCTGTGGCCTACCTATTTTTGTGGTATTGTAGCTCAGCTGGGGGCCAGACTATTTCAGTAACCTCTGCTAACTAATCGAGAGTATTGCCAGAAAACCGTCACCCTGATACATGACAATCACCCATAATGTGGCCACGTTCTGCATAGCTGCTGTGGATGTGCAGAAACAACTGACTATCGCACGTGGCTGACATCGTCTTATCTGATTCACGTATCTTCTGTTATATAAGATTGAAATACAGACTCCATTACTCTAAATACCATATTTAATAATTATTTGAATACTTTGGATTATTAGAACTCAGAGTACATTCATACAAATATTCACCTTTTCAGTTTATGACACCTATATGGAGGGCTGGTTGGGGTTTTTTCCCCCTTTTTTCTTTGTTGTATTTCATTTATATATGTTCTGTTTAACTGGTCACTGACCAAAATAAAATATTCTCTCTCTCTGTCTCTCCCTCACAATGCTGCCTTTGATGATGGATCGTGGGCAACTCTCCCAAGCACCCAGAGAACCCAGTGATCAAAGGCAGAAAAGCAAGGTTAATCAGTGGCCATATACCAGTGATCTTGTCAAGCTTGGCATTCCAATAAAGCAAGTGGAAAAGTGAGAACTTACTTTTCACACCATCTGAACTTTTTATTTTAGTGGGAGTAAGATGCTTTCAGGTTGGTTCAGCACAAGTTATTTCTTTGCTGCATAATTAGGAAGCTACTGCTTTGTTTTTTCTTTATCCCCACAAAAGGATTACTGCCCTTAAACTCACAACAGATCCAGCCGAAACTCTGCAGGGTTTGTGTTCTCCTGAAGGGTTTATCATCCCAAATGTTTTCATCAAGTTGGTTTGGCCTTGAATCACAAACTTGACTCAGATCACACCATTTTCAAATCTCAGACCTATTAAAAAGTAGTCTATCTCCTACAAACTTGAAGCGCTCCTTGTGATGTGGAAAATAATGTTGGCAACAATCACTTGGGTGAACTGCCCCATCCACAGTGATGTTGAGCCAAACAGGAATGACACAGTCTGAAAGAGCCACACTAGAGCCTGATGTCTTGCTAGATTCTTCCTTCAGAAGCCAATTGCTCTTGCCAGGTAAAGACAAAGACCTTTGGCCACAAGTGTCTAGATGGAAAAACTCAGAGACCAATAAGACAAGTGAGTTCACACCCATCTGAAGCCCCAAAGAAGGCACAATAGGACAAAAAGGCAAACGAGCAGATGGAATTCATAGCCAGGTTCCACATTAGGTATTATTTACTAGGTATGTGGAAAGCATTCAGAAGAAAAGTTTAACAAAGTGTATGTTGTTTCTGCCCACCTCACCAGATCCAACAGGGTGGGCATGTTCCTGGTCCTGTTGATTAAACCAGGGTTCCTCAGCCTTAG